ATGAAATCCTGAAACTAATCAAATCTCTTCAAACCAACACCTGAAGATTAATTTAAACATATTTAAACACTGAGTCTTTACATATTTACGGAATATTTAAATACGTTACCATAAAGTTAGTAGGTAGATACATCTAGCTCACCGGACAAATTACATTCTATTACTAAAAAATACAGATTTTTTAGTTCATTCTATAAATTCCAGGGTCACTTTTGATAGACTGATTGTTAGAAGCTTGAAAAATTCAGTTTACAGTGTCAACTGCTATTATAATCACCGTAGAATACGAAAGGTTTCCTAAGCCTGACAGGTAGCCTGATCATGTATATGAATAAATCAAAATTCATATAAATACCTTTCTAATAAAATTAATTGTAATAGACCTAGTAAGACGGAGGTCTGTTTTACGTTTTAACAAAGACACCAATCGTATGAGGTAGGTGGGAGATGAATAATCATTTAGAAGTTCGAAATGCAAAGGTGAATATCAGCTTTCATCATTCTGCACTACCTAGTAACTACCCATACACTAAGGTTAAATTTTAGAAATATAATGAGAGATGTTCTAGTCTAAGAGTCTGTTTTCACATACAAATAAGTCCGACCTTAAGCAGTGACTTCTAATGTAGTTTTTTATGTGGTAGGAGGGAAGAAAATAATAAAGTTAGTTGCAGCGGTTGACAAGCCTTTACAGTATTTCAAGCCTAATTTTCTTCTGCTTTGGCCACACTAACCAGGAACTAACACTACTTCATATAAAAGTTGAGACTATGTAATACTGGTTTTTATATCAATTTAGTTTCAATACAGTATACAGCCTTTTTCGTGTAACTACGTATAATGAATACGAAGAAGACCTAGTGTTGAAAAGCAAGTGAACAATTTGTGATACGATATTTATATTACCATCGCTCATAAATATTCAGCTGAAGATTTTCGAGTAAAATGGAATGGTGTTCTCACACATGAGCATCATTCACCATAAAGTAATACACAAGAATAGGCGAAAGCAGCCAAACAACCCTTTGTTTTTCAGAGACATGCTGATTAGGTAAGCCAATAGGTCTATTCTAGTTGAAAACTTTGATTTATTCGAAGACTGTTGATGAAATTGATATAACTGCTTGACAGTGTTTACTTAAGTGACGTGTGAACATTATTCATGCAGCAGACATAGAACGTATGCATGACGGTAGCCAAGTACAAAACAACTGCTGATGAATAGGTTGAAACCAAAACCATGATTTAGCCGTCAAAGCAGAAGTGTGATACTCTGGATAAAAATAACTTCATGGAATCACATAGTGATAAATATTAGTTTTTATAGCCATACGATTTTATCAGCTAAATAACAAAGATTGATGAACTATGGTCTTCATGAAATTGCCTAACATTCATGTGGTGACGAAAAGTTTTGTTTTAGATGACATGAAATTATTACGAATAGTAAGAGTAGTGATATAAGAAGACATTGGAGATGTTTCACATCAGTCTCATCTTAGTAAATCTAACTTTACTTGTGACCTTTTTACTTTCTGGACTTTGAACATGTTTGACAGATCTCTGAACATCATTTTAGGTGTCAACCTCAATGCTACTTTACGTAGAATTTAATTTGACAGAGTGGTATTTACTGTAGAGAAGAAAGGAAATATCTAAAATGCACTGAATCTTCTACAGCATAAAACATATCACAAATTTGAAATAAACTCAAGTAGACCAAGAACAAAAATGACATACTCAACAGGGATGAATCAAAGTTATTCAAAACTAAAAGCCCACGGTTTATACTTGCTGAAAATTCAAAATTCTAGGTCCAATGAAAATATCCACTATCTATGTATTTTACATACTTCTAGTTCAGCGGTGTAATATACTCACAAACCAAATGAAAGATTATAAAAACGTCTCCTTTGAAACCACTGCTGAGGAAGTAATACAAAGATTGAAAATAGCAGTATTACCAAGAGTTGAAAAGTAGCTTTGATACGTAGATGACACCAGTGGGATTTCGAATAGTCTTGTAGTCTTTTCCTACAACGTTTCTACAAACACCAGAAGGCAGTCAATCATCATAATATGAGGTGATGAAAATAACTGAAACTTAGATGAAGGTTTTCAGATGCTGTTTTGCTGCCTAAGCCGGATGATTTCATTGATTAGGTTTTATTACCCTTCTGGACAACAATGGAAATAAGTTTATTCCAGGTGAGTCGAATGATTTTATCTAGCAACGTTGATATGGTAAACGAAAACACTCGATTATGAACTATAAAGGCTTAACAATCGGGAATCAAATCATTAGGATGAAGAATGAAAATGAACTTAGCTGCCAAACAAACGCCACAGGTTAGTCAACTATGACTATCCCCAAAGGTCAAATCAACAAAAGCACCACAACTGTATGACCTATGCAGGAATAATCAGAAGTCAGTGTTTTAATGAAAGCTCAAAGATTCCATATTAGATAAGTTTATTTAATAACCGAAGAGAAGCAATAATCGAGCAGTGATGCAGTATTAACAACTGAATGACGTTTCGAGCATAAATCAATCAATGTATATTGATATGATTATGGGCAATAATATTGAAATAAACTCATCTAATATGGAATTACATTCTATCACAGTGCCCAAGTTCTATACCTACATTTAAGGTCAAAGATGTAAGCAGCAAAATGAATCAACGCAAATCCAATTAGTAGAATATCAGTTTGAAGTTTTATCCAAAAAAAGGAATTCCGATAAGCAATGACAAAAACTTTATTGAATTAAATTTCCCATGGAATGCCATCCAAGATAACTTCTGAAATGATTTTTAGTCTTCTGTCAAAAAAGAATCCGAAAAACGGACAACAATAATCACCAGAATGCCTTCAACGTGATCCGCAAATATTCAGCCTCATTTTAGAATTTGATAAATATTTCTGGAGATTATTGGTGATTGCAAATTTCTTAAATTGACTGTCATTCTATATCTATTTACGGTCACATCACAATGCAGCTATCATCTTTTATAATCTCTGCTTCCATTTCAGGAACTCGTCCTAATGATGCTCCAATACGTGTAATTTTCTTATGGATATTTTATTGGCTTAGGTGAGAACCGGTATTCTTAAATTTTGCTTGTTAACATAAACTAGATAAGCTTTCCTTTACAAAATGCCACTGTAATAAGATTTCTTAATTTATATTCTTAATGGTGTTTTTATACTAAACCTTATTATTGAATAGCTGGTATTCTGTAGTGAAAGTGTTGAATATAGAAAATTTGGTTTTGCTCGAAACTGTATTCTTGTATCAACTTCTATGGTCTCGATTTATTAAATGAAAATAGGATTTCTGCCTGGAAATATTGTTAATTCAAAAAGAGAACGAAAACAAATTTCTTTCCTTATTCAACTGTATGTTCAATCACAAAGTCTGAAAATTCAGTTTTCGTCATAACAAAAATATAGCCTGATGGGAAAACTGATTTCAGCAAAGTTTTACGAATTTCAAGAAACGAAGTATAAACGGAATATATTATCATTTATATTACTTCTGTCCAATACACATAGCTAATTTTTTCTATTGATGTTTATCACAAACAAACTTGACATTTTGTTAATAGAAGTTTTGATTTTTCTAACTACTGAATTTGAGAACTGAACTGATCAGTCTGTTTTGCATATTGAGTTTGTGTAAAAAACACTCCTCAGTGTTACTGATATTCAGCTCATACACCAAGAGGACTACTCACTCTGTTCTTGTGAACCATCGGAAAACAGAATACTGAACAGTAATTTTTGAAGATAGTTATAATAGTGGAAAGTGATGTAGGGTTTGTAGCTACGCCTAGTGGGTCAGAGTCTCAGTGAGATACTAACTCAATCGATAAGATAATGAGGCACGGGGCTAACTAGTTTCAAATAGTACTAAGCTTTTATTCCAGATTTAACTGATAGTCACTAACAGGTACATAACTTGGAAGTTTCCAGTTTAGTTAATTACATTAATTCATGTGAAAAGAGTGGGTTGTTTATTTGGGGAAGTCGTAAATCAATATCTGAATTATACTTTGCTATTCTCTCCCAGGCTTTTGCTATCCTATCATTATAATATCTCCCCATCATACCATCCCTGTCATATCATAACTGAGCTGCTCTACGTTTAGTTCTCTAGAAACCTTAAACTCGAAAAACACCTCACTGTCAATGTCACGTCGACTTGGTATGTTGTTTAGACTTAAAAATCGAATTTGTATTATGATTTACTTCAAAAACAACTTGTATTTTTTCCCTGTGTTGCTTAGTTAGGCCATAAACCTTGTCAGTTATATTTGCATATATATATATATATATATTATGAAAGGACTTATTTTGTGTTAACTTTAATGTGAAACTATTTTAAATTGTTTAAATCTGACAGTGACATTCTAAACTAGCAAATTATACACAAACTTTGAAATTAATTTGTACGTGGAAGATTTAGACCACACGGAGTAAAATCAGTTTAGCTCACTCCACAATGTTTGTTGCTAGTGCTCCACAAAAATATTATTAGTTGGTTGCATTAAATAATGTTGAGTTATTTGAAAACTTCAGTAGAAGCTTTAATATTCAGTGGGAAAATAAGTTCTGTCATGATGAACTGGAAATAAACTTAAAAAATACATTGAAATGCTGATCCTGTGTTCTTTTCCTAAATGTTACTCATTACAGTTAATTTTTAACCTCCATAGGGTGGAACATAGATGTAAGGATGAAAACCTATGCAGAAAGCTGATTATTTACAAAATTAATAATCAGAAGGTTGGTTTCGTCAAATGCCAGAATGATTTGAAAAGTTTGTATCCTACTACCGCATACTTGTTTCTTTGTTTAGTAATAATGAATGAAAGTGATGAAATGACCCCTTATTTTCATGAAATGCCCAGCTTATTCTGTTCAGTAAGCATGGGAACAAGGAAATAGGTATGTAGTTAGATATCTGTTCCTCGTTAACATCAGTATGACTTACCCACTAAGAACACCAAGTACTAAATTGATTAATAAAAAGGCGCCGATAACAATTAATGGTATAAAATAGATCCAATTAAAACGTGAACCATAAGTCCGATTGGTCTGTAATAAAATAAAAAAATAAGAATAACATATCTGAGTCACCAATCAAAACTTTAAATCCTGTTGTATACTGTAAGTAAGCATCAGAATAAGTCTTCATGGCTATCAAATACCATTGTGATGTATTTTATGGCAACACTAAAAGGTGTCACACGAGACGATGAATTGTATTTAGACAAGCGGTAACCACAATTAGGAACTTTTTTGCAACGGCTAATAAGAATCTAAATTTACAAATATGTCGACCAACTAACCAGTAGAACACTTTTTCCATTCATCACTGACTGAAAAACAGTTGAGCATATGATCCTCTAAATTGAGAAGTATTTGTATATTTAAAAAAATTCTTATCAATAACACGTTTCCCCTAATTAATCAAGTGAAGACCTTAAAACAGATGAAATAAGTACACATAAGACGAAGGGAAAACAGTAGTTTGTTAGAGATTACTGAACCTTATTTATTAGTTAATCAGTTTTATAATTTCACTCATTAGGTCAATCAGTTGTGTTCTCATGATATTTAAACACTCATATGAAGCCGCATACGAGTTTATTCATCCAAACATTTATCTAACTTACAAGTGCTTTCATTCAATGCAGACTGTTGATTGAAAAGTCAGATGTATTTAGTTCTCTAGTCTTTGTAATCATGTTACCATGCTTGGTACGGCATATAGTCGAAATTAGAAATATTGTACACGATATGGGCTTATGCTGTTTCAAGTTTAGTTGACTACTTTTCATTAAGTCTCTTCCAATATAAGGTTCTCTTGTGATTAAAATTGTCACTGATGACAAGAAAGTGGTTAAAATTACTAAGTGCTACAAACAAATAGTGTAATGCAGTTGCTACTATGCATAAAAATCATATTGTCTGAGAAAATCTGAATGCAATGACATGTTAATCAACTGATTATATATTATTATTATTCCCTTGGGTTCCGAGTGGAACATAGGACTTCAACAACACATCTCCACTTCATCCTATCTTCTACAGTCTTCTTCATCTGCGTCCACGATTGCCATAATCTCTCATCTCCTCATCACACGATCTCCTCCATGTCACCCTCGGACAACCGACTCGTCAATTCCCATTTGGATCCCACTTGAGCAATGGCCTGGTATACGATGTCATTTGACGGCCTTCTCAATGTACACCAGACCCATCTCCATTTTCTACTACATATTTGTTGAGCAATCGGCTCTTCGTTAGTTTGTTGTCAGAGTTTCTTCTTGCCAATTCTTCCCAGCCATTTGATCTTCACTGTTGAGCCATCGGAGGCGGCTGTCGATAAAAGTCTTCAGTAGCCTGTTGGAAATGCTTTTCGTGACATGAGCGCCATGTTTCTTACCCATATGGAAGAACTAACTGACTTCATAATTGTACTGAATAGAATTCGAATCTTGTTGTATATGCTGAAGCAAAGTGCAGAAGATTTCCTAACTGGTTTCAGGTTGATGAAGGTACACCTTACCTTTGCGATTCTGGCTGGCTTTGACATCTTCATCCATTCCGACTGCCTGTGGTTGAAACGATGCTTCATAGCTAGATAAGTGGAGGAGGTAACTTCTGTTAAATCTCTCCCGTTGATGGTGACTGTTGCTGTTGGTTGTTTATCTTCATCGTCTCCGTTTTCTCTATGTTCACTTGGAGTCCTGTCTTCGCTGCCAGCCTTTTCTGCCAGTTTGTTGGTTTTCCCCTATAAGTCTTCGAGTTTGTGTGATATTAAACATAAATCATCCGCAGAATCCAGGTCTTCTAGAGACTTCTCATCGGTGGTCCTGTCTCCTCACTTACTGTGCACAGTCTGACGCATAATCCAGTCGACCACAACTAAGAATACCATCGGTGACAATAGGCAGCAGCTTTGTCTAACACCTGTATTCACTTCAACCACATCTCTGAGTTTTCCGTTGTGGATCACCTAACACTTGTCCTAGTCATATAGCTGTTGAATTAGGTTGACAAAGATTTGGTAATCGCACGCCATGGTGTTGAAGCAGTTTCCAAATTACTTCACGGTCAATGCTGTCTGGTGAAGGCCATTTCGAAGTCGATGAAGTTGAAGTAGAGATTTGACTGCCATTCTATGCTCTGTTCTGTGATGACGATGCGTAGAGTTGCAGTTTGATCAGCTCGTGACTTGCCTTCCCCGAATCCAGTTGCTCTGGCTGGTGGAGTTCTGTATCCCGTGCATCTTTTATTCTCTCCAGAATGATGCGACTTAGTATTTTTCTTGGAGTGGACAAGAGCATGATTCCACGCCAGTTCTTGCAGAGGCGAGAGTGAGTCGCCCTTCTTTGGTAGCTTGACAAGGTAGCCAGCCTTTCTTTCAGTAGGCACCTTTCCTTCCTTCCAAACATTTCGTAATAATGCCGTGAGCACATCTGTCACAGTGCTTCCGTTTCCAGTGCTTCGGAAAAAGATTCCATCTTGTCCTGCTACCTTCCAGGCTGCACTTCAGTAACTTGATCACATTCAGGATGTCTTACTTCGTTCGCTGGCAGGCACTCCTGTGCGTGCTATTGGTGTTGTATTTCTGAGCGAGTTGCAAGTGATGGTCGATTCAGTAATCCTAGCACTCTTCTTTATTGCTTTATTCAGTGCAGTGTACACTGAACTCAGCTTTTCCTTCTCTTGTCCATCTTTGCACTGAGTCACCTTCTCTTTCACCATCCTCCTCTCCTCGATTAACTTCCAGGTATCCGTTGACAGCCATTCTTTGTCTTGTTTCTTCTTTTTTCCTAGGACAGTTGTACACGTCTCCTTGAACATCACCTTCAGAGAGTTCTAATGTTCTTCCACGCAGGTGTCCTCAGTGATGCCAAGTAGTGTCTCCGACTTTGCTCTGATCTGATCTATAGTGAAAGCGCCATTATGGTTTTGTCCTTTAGTTTCTGAATATCTAACCTGAATTACAGTGGCCTGTCTCAAGTTGTTTTGAAGGATTTCAGCTTCACCTTGAGAGTTCCTTGAATTAGATGATGGTCTGAGCCCATATCTGCTCCCCTTCTCGACCTTGTATCTAGCAAGCTGCGTCTCCACTTCCTTGAGCAGCATTGGATGAAGTCTATCTGTTTTGTGGTGCGTCTTTGAGGTAAAATCCATGTGCCCCAAATCACCAAATCATTAGAAGCCCAGAAGTCTGTGAAGAGTTCGCCGTTCTCATTCATTTTGCAGCGCGATGGCCTCTCGACCCATGACGAGTTCTCTTCCTATGTCGTTTTCTCTGCCCCCAGTTTAGCGTACATATCTACTATAAGGATTTTGATTTCACCATTTAGCACGTTACCGATTACTATTTGTAGTCGTCTGTAAAAATCTTCCTTCTTCTCTTGTTCCGCGTTGTTTGCAGCACTGTGTGCAGCATTGGATCACTGTGACCTTTTGAGTTGGATCTTGCTTTCATGATCCTGGATGAATATGGGGCTATGACTGCCACTGGTGATATCGTGATAGCCACTCACTGCCTCAGTGTGCTCGTGGTTATCGTCTGAGTGACCAAACTGGAGTAGATTACTGACTCTCTAGTTGAAAGTTTTGACAGTCCACATCCATTCCATCTGCTCTCTCAGATTCCCAGCACTTCTAAGCCATATCTTCACATTTTATTGGCCACTTTGACAGCCTTCTCAGCCAGCCTCGTACATTGTACGTACACTCCACGTCCCCATTCTTATTCTTGCTTTCATCGAGCGAAGACACATCAGTCGGCTGACTGGCTTCCCGCTGGCCTTACTCATAAAGAGGTAATTAGTTTAAAAAACAGTGAACAGGTTTGATTGATTATTGAATTCGCAGTTCACTAATTAATTTAGCTGATCTGAACTGATTCGACTATCTTAGCTGATTCAAACTGGATCTACTGCTGATGACCTCGGCCCTAAACTTAATCAACAGCCATCTAGTGTCTAGATAACTTCGATCTGGCTACCAAGCACACCTGGTTGATATGAGTGGTATACAACCACTCATTGATAGGGGATTATTATTAACTTTGTTTTATTCATCAAAACACTTACCATATACAATACATCTGTCCAACCTTCCATTGTAATGCACTGGAATACTGTTAACATTGCATATCCAATATTATCAAAACTTGTAATACCGTAATTCGGTCCTTCCCAATAACCTTTACATATGTACCCAGCTGGACAAATGAAACCTCCTGGTGGTCTTGTATGTGCATCAGCAGGCTGACAAGGTATCAAACCGGGAGTATCTGGAATGTAACTAGGTAACTCTGTTGGATTACCTTTAGTTCAGAAAAGAAGGGATAAAAATTTTATAAAGATTTCGCATGAACTCTCATATACACCAAAATAACAAATAAGTTTCTATTTGAAGGGGTGGTAGGACATATAAAGATGTACTAAGATCTGAAATATCTTGGTTTTACGATGTTTCTAGTGATTATGGCAAATTAACTCCAATCCAAATGGGTTAGTTCTCCAGGTGTCTAGTGTTTCCACTGATTGACCATTTCCGAACTAATCAATGAAATCATACTAAAATAGAATCCGTAAGGCATTTATCAATATTTCTGTAGTTTTACAGGATTAGCAATTTCTTTTACTGAATTCTGTAACTCAAGTCTTACTCTAGTGAATCAAACCAATATACGATTGTTGGGATATACGCAACACTTCATTGTCACTCCAGAAGGACCATCATACAGAGTTTAAACAAATGGTACTGAGTTTCAGCTGTGGCATGAAAAGTAAATCTAGATCAAGGACACTGAATGAAAGAAGCAGTTCTATCTGTGAGCTTCGTCTAGGGTACAAATAAGTAATAATGATTGTATTCATATTATTGATTACAGTAGACAATAATTAGTACGTTCTGTGTGCATGCGGTAACATTTGACAGTGAATCGAAGTGCCGTAATATTAGAAATACGAATGAATAAGTGGATTATTAGTGAGATCGATAATTTACTGAATACATTTCAAAGTTCAATTTCAAAAGGTTTATGACCTATTTATAACATGAAATACAAGTTATGGATAATGCTGTCACCTACAACGAAATTAGATCTTGATATCTGATTTGGTAAATAAGTTTATTTCCCTACTGTTTCAAAATTAAATTTACGAAACAATCACTTGACATATTTATACAAACTTTATCTTAACTCATCAAGAAGCTGATGGTTTTGTACATAAATTTTCTCATATACAACGTTCATTGTGTTTATATGGGTCTTGTTTTCAAATTGAGTTCAATAATTTCGGTGGTCTTAAAAGTAGGAGTTATTTTTCTACAACTTCTATGTTAAAATGAAGTGATTTAAATTTCAGTCAGAAATATATAAATATATAATGTCCTATTTTTCTCTCCTTTTTCCACACCCTTAGAAGTATTCCACTTGAAATACCTAACAGATAAGCAGCTTTCCTTATTTTTTTTTATATCCTTTTTCTATTTTAGAACAGTTCATCACTATTCTTGATTTATCATTGAGTGGATAGGTGTATTTCTGTCTATGATATTCATAGGGTGGGACAACAGGTAGACAACACTGTTTAGAATAACTTCAGGAAATAGTTGAATCTGATTATTGTTATTATTATGATTATTTTATTTCCTAGGAAAAAAAAGTTAAAATAATATGTCACAAATTGACACTTCACTGTTGTTTGTTTGTTTTTTATATGAATTATCAAGATCTTTCATATTTTAATGTTTTATAAATCAATCAAAATAAACTGTAATGTTCACGTTAAATACACCTCATTATGGCTGTTTGAGCAGAATGTTACTATAATTTTTATTGACAGTCAATTTGGAGTACTAAAAATGCAAAATTCAGGAGGATAATTTCATATTGTATGCATGAAATTAACTGAGAGGAAATATTGTTTATTGTACACTAAGAAAACAAAAAGGGATGATTCCTTGAAGAGAATATTATTTTTGGTCAGATTTATTTTCGAAAACTAGTTTTTTTAATCCAACTCTTTCTGTACTATTCCACTTAAACTTATAGATAGTTGTGAAAAAGAATCCCGGTATAACTATAAGGGGAGAAGTTTTCAGATGTTCAAGTACTGCGATGATGATTGAGCTTTAGATAGCCACTTCAGACAGTCTTTGTAATGTACTTAAGAGGCCGGAATTCTCAAAAGTTAGCAGCATCTCTACAATATATATGGTAAAGATACTGAAACAAGAAGAAAACGTCTACTAGCAGTTCTATTGTTGATGTAGGTCCATAGGATACTCATCATGAAATTAATTAAATCCCTATGTTTTACAACTACAATGAAAGTCCTACATTGCTTTTGTTGCTCTAGCTGGTGGAAGACTATTTTGTTAAGTATACCAATGATTTGACAGTTTCGATGTACCTTAATTCTCAGTCAAACTGTTCGGAAATAAATAACGTTTTATCAGAAATTAGTCAGTGGTCCTCGTTAAATGGTCTTAAGCTTCATCTCTCCAAATGTCAGGTGGTTGATTTCACTTCCAGACATATACGCGACATACGTGAACTGGTTAGTTTACACGGTCCCACTATCATACATACCACAGAAGTTGAAACTAAATTGAATGTTAAATACGTTGGATTGTGTATTTCCTCTGATCTTTCCTTGTCTTCCCATATCATGTTAGTTTCCAGAAAGATATTTCGTTTGACGTTCTATGTAATGAAGTTAAAACTATCTGGTATCATTCCGTCTCTAATTTCTAAGTTTGTTAATTTGTGTATTCTGCCTATACTTCTTTACTGCTCCCCCTTAATCTTTCGCGGGCTACTGAAGAAAGACTTTGTTATACTGTGACTGGCAATAAAAGCAGTCAGCAAGGCGACTGGGATGTTGCTAAACTAACTCGTTAATACCATGGTAGATAGACACATGAACTCTTGCAAAAAATTAGCAAATATTGTAGAGAAACTACGAATTGATATAATGTCAAATATTTTCTTGTCAGACTCTGAGCATCTCTATACACAACTCTCCCTTTGCATCTCATCGGATAGAAGTAGAAGCAAATATAAAAGACCATATTCTCAGACGACTAAGTACAGAAACTCTACAATACCTTATTTAGCACACGTTTTATGTTATAAGAAAAGTATAAGGCAGGAAATTACCAAATTACTGCAGAACTCCTAGTAAACGGCCCCATTTTCTTTTTCAATTGTCATATTTTTGTTAATATTCTCACTTAATCTTATATTCATCTTCTTATTGAACGATATAATCAGTGTAAATGCCCTGTTTTAATTATTACCCCCGTAATGAGAAAGTCAGATGCAATAATGTACTACATGCTGAAAATTCCATTTTTGTACCGAAAGTACTGTTTGGAATAAAGCTATTATTATTAAAAATCTACATTTATGCAGAAAGGTGATTACTTGAGGTGTGGTGATGAATTTAAATACTAGTGACCTGTTAATCAGATGTAAAACAGTTACACAAATGAAGATATGCACTCAAACTTATCAGTAGTTTAAAAACAAGAGCGGTTCACAAATTATCATTTCGAATCATCTGGAATAACTTGAGGTTAGCAGTAAAAAGCAGAGTGTAGTATATTGTAAAACTAAGCGGACTCACTTTGCTCAAAACAGGTCACATGAAAGACTCCGGAGTAAAATTCCAACCCGACAATTGCAAAAATTAAAATAGCAAATAGTACCAATATCCCGATCTGTAACAATGGTGCCATTGCTTTGATAATAGATGTCAGAACTACTTGAAGACCTGAAGGCAAAATGTGAAATAGACATGCGTAAAATACTAATAATATCTAACCGATTATATGGGTATTCTTCTCTACTAAGTGTATTTTTTAAAAAGAACAGACAAATTTACTGGAAATGGTGAGAAACACGTGTTCAAGATAATTTTTCCACTCTTAGAGTACATCACTTATTGTTTCATTTAGAGATCTAAATTACTTTTTATAACGTTCAACTGCCTTAGTGAAAACGTGTTTAACCAAAGTTACAATGCTCAGTGAGTGAATGGCAAATCTTGAAGTAACAGGCTTTTGTATGATATTATTATTATATTTATAAATAGTACCAGCCAACCACGAAGGTCAAAGTACTTAGACATGTCAATGGAACTTTAAAGACAGTTTCTAGGTGTCTCTTTCTAAAAATATCTTTTTACTATAATCCTTGAATTGACTGAACACTAAGTGCTAATTATCTGTTCCTATTTACTCCATATCCGAAAAAACGAGTTTTGTTACACATGACGAAGTTCCATCAACTATGAGATTTTCCAGAATGCATCTATTAGAAACCATGATGTAGCTTAATAAAATTAGAAATAGGATATACTACCCATCCTAGATAAATAAACGAATAATTTTCATTCAGATAAAAAGACTTTGCAAACTCGTCAACACAAACAGTCTGTTCAAATATGGCCACTGTCAATTATTTCCCACCACCTTTTGAAGTCTTTTTACTTTTGCATTGTGCTTTATAAAATAAAATCATCCTACATTCCATCACACCTCTTTATCATGTGATCGTTAAAAATGAAATTGAGAAACGTGATAGCTTTAATTTCCAGTCTGTCAAAAACCATTAAACGAATGCGTGACTGCTTTTCAGAAGTATTCTGTTAATTGTAACAACAATAAAATTAACCGGAAGTTAAAATAGATGAGAATAGTACACGGAACAAATCAGTGAAATCATGGCGACACTTTTTTCCAGTTTTGCAGAGGATTCTAGGTTAGCATAGTACTTGTTACCTTATATTAATCACCAGAGAAATTATGGAATTTGTGTTTATAGTAGCATATAGCTAGAAATCTTGTCGTATAGCAAATTCACAGGATTTTCACAACAAACTCATAAGATTTGAGAAAGTTTTTAAAGTTCCTCATGGAGATGTCTAACATATGAGCACTGTCGTTTAAATACACATAAACTTTGTTGGAATTATTTCATTATAAGCCAGTGAAGTATACTGATTGGATAAATTTTTTTTATTGAAACACGCGAAGAATCTTCAAAGATATTACTAATTAAATGTGACTTGATTTTTCGTCTCTAATGTGTTTTTTCTCTCGACAAAAACTCTACTTGCTAAAGTTCATTAACATTCAAAAAGTCCACTGCAAAATTTCTCTTATTTTGTAATGAAACAGAAGATTTTCGTTCAGAAGACACATTCTAATTAACACACATACACATCTAGGCTACAACAAAAATTAAAACTGATTAGAACAATTACCGTCCTATTTCAGTTTGTTTAGCTTAGCAGACAATCTATTTTTCACACTTACAAAAGGGAAAAGAAGCAAATTCCTTTTGGTAAAAAAAATTGAGAAATTTATCGTAACATCTATGTAATACAGAATCTTTGGAGGTGAAAATTAATTTCACTTGACAAAAAAGATCACTGGATTGTGCTTCAGTAGTGCAAACTTCAGAGTGACATTCATATCTTTGTAACAAACGTTAATGGGGCAGGCAAGAAGCAGAATTATATGTTTTCAGCTAGATTTGTAAAAGAACTCTGTTTGATCTCTAGAATATGGTTGTGCTGTTTGTTTCACTCCAGTACCTAACACCTACCGTTTGTAGACAAAAGCTGCCAAGCGAAACTCCTCCATCCTTTTCAGTCTATACACACAAGCAATAATTTAACTGAGCGATTGAATGGTTGATGTGCTCTAATGTTTCCCCTATCCTCATACAGTAGACCGACTTAAAGAATAATTTGCTCTTCACATAAGCATGAAACGATAGGTAACCTGGTTTTAGGTAGGTTTCAGTTTTAAGTGAGTAGTTTTGTAGCGCAACTCTATTTTTCAGAATACTGAATTAGAATGAATACAAGTAAGTCATAAAATAAATTTCTGTTTCATTAAGAATGTTTCTTTGATCTGTAACGACTTCAAAGCTAACTTCATAGAGTAGTAGTGGTTTTTGCGCACTTTTATGTTGGTTAGATTTGTAACGCTTTTGAAGCTATACTTAGTGATTACTCTCTTTGCAAGCCTTTATGTAATAACTTAATAATGAGAAGAGAATACTTTTTGAGAGCAAATGTAAATACTTAAAATTTGCAATGGATTTTACGATACGATCATCTTAACTATTTAGTTTGTAAATATTGGAGAACTTTCACTGATAGCTTTCTTAAATAGCACGTCAGATTTTGAAGCAATTCAAATAATTTCGTTGCTTGAAGTTCATAAAACCAATTACAGGAGCAAAAAGCCTCAATCCTTAATACCAAGATGACCGACCACTTAGTAATTAAAATGTTTTTAACTGACCAGCATGCAAATTTGATTCACGTGAGCGGTTTCAATTCAACTTAATTATACACTAGAACATTCTCTACACCTTTTTGGTTGACATTCGTGGTACTACTGATGTTGTCAAGTACGCTACTTACAGTGGTTTATTTTTCTAGAAGAAGACAGCTCTTACCACAACTCTACTTTTACTCAATGGATGGGTTAACGGGTTCGAATCCCACTCCATCTACTTCATCTTGAGATGTCATACAATGAATGCTACTCCGAATAGCTGAGTTCCAAGTGTCAGCAGAATTCAATAATTTACTCATGATTAACTGTATTGAGACATAAAACTTTGAATACTGTTTTCTCCTCCCTTATAAACTATTTCATCAAAATTTTACACCTGTTAAATTTCATCCACTTTATCTGTTGATTTCGAATATTTATTAATCACCAGAAATTTTCCACCGAGATATAAATGAACAACTCAAGGGTATTCACCTGTGCGTCGGTGGCACAGTGGTTAGGACTCTCGCCGACCATGCACATGGTCTGGGGTTCGATCCCCTGCCGACGCACACCTGATATCTATGGTCGGCCTACAAAATTTGGGCTACCGATATCCATACTGAAAATTCCATACCTGTACCGAAAATACGGTGTGGAATCAAGCTGTAATCAAAAATAAAAAAACGAAAACATTATGAAATCTTATTTCATACCATGTATCCGAAAACATTTGATTTAACTCTAGATCGTTTTTCTTCGTTCTTTGCTAATAGAAATAGACACTGAAAAGGCTTCCATATTAGTTTGTTTATTAGGTATATCACACAGTGAAACAGTATTATTTACTGGATGACGTTTCGAATAAAATTTATTGTTCATAATCATATCAATTGTAATCACACGACTTTGACACTTGAGTTTTATAGCTTTCTTTGTTTTCTCCTATTTGTCGTAGGGGGAGTAGAATTTTCCAGATATCGGGGACAGGTGATGAATCATTCCTATTACATGTATTTGCAGTTGATTCGATAAACAAAGCTTCTGTTATCAATCTCTCCCTATACCCTGTGACATTAGATAGGATAGGATGACAGTTTTAAAATCTAATGTCACAGGGTATAGGGAGAGATTGATAACAGAAGCTTTGTTTATCGAATCAACTGCAAATACATGTAATAGGAATGATTCATCACCTGTCCCCGATATCTGGAAAATTCTACTCCCCCTACGACAAATAGGAGAAAACAAAGAAAGCTATAAAACTCAAGTGTCAAAGTCGTGTGATTACAATTGATATGATTATGAACAATAAATTTTGTTCGAAACGTCATCCAGTAAATAATACTGTTTCACTGTGTGATATACCTAATAAACAAACTAATATGGAATTACTTACTACCACAGTGCCCAAGTTCTACACATATATTAACTGAAAAGGCTTGTTATGCAGATAAAAGTTTCAAAACTGATAAATTAAGTAGAAGTCAGTTATTATTTTCAAAAAAAACGAGAACAAATCCAACTTCATCTATTAAAAAAATGCTTACTTGGAACACCTGACACTAACTTGAGTGGACGAAGCACACGTACAGCTCTCAGTGTTCGTAGATTCACGCCACTTCCTGTCGTCATAAACATTGTAAGAAAACTAGTAAAAAGAAAAAACCATTGGCATAAATGATTACTTCAGTAAAAAAAGGTCTTAAAATCAGTATATTATATAAGTAGGAGTTATTTTTACTAAATCACATGAAATTTACACATCTTATTAGAAAAGTTTTGTGGGTGTTCATAACATATTTTAAACAAACTCATCAGTTACTCATGGCAACGAGAGAAATGTAACATACCGTTTATTATACGTTGCATAGAATGATAACCTACCAAAAGTGTATGCCACTAAAACGTCATATTTTCGTTATCACTAGTTGAATTTTAACTTGATATTCAACTGTTTGTCACAAAAATAATTGATACGCGTATACTTCTTAGAAATTTTGAATGGATTTCAAACTTACAGGTACAAAACAGTTAGAACACAGCTGCTAAACTAAATACTGATCAAGAAAAACCATCTGAATTCTTGTTCGTATCAAGTTGACTAAAAAAATTACGTGGACTCTTTATTTAATTTAAAAGTGATTCTGTCTTGAAAGGAATTTTATTTAGAAATGAAGTAGCTCCTTAAATAAGAATCATAATTTGGTTACAGGATATCATCATAAGCTGACATTGGTTAGAGAACCACTGGAAAACCTGGGACAGCAGTACGCACCGACCGGGGTTGCTGAAGAGTCTCAAACTAGGACGAAATAGCTGTCCAGTACTCCCAGGTTTTCCAATGGTTCTCTAACTAATGTCAGCTTATGATGAAATCCTGTAACCAATCAACCAAATCCCTACAAACCAATACTTAATTATCAAGAATAGTAAAATTCAGTTTTCTGTACTAGTTTTAAAGTGCTCTAGCATTCATATTAGTTTTTTCCAACTGTAATGTTCGGAACATGTTCGTCGTTGCGAATCGGTTTATAGTAACACGTAATAACCACATTTATAAATCACTGTTTAACAGTGACTGAGAATAGAAAAGAACAATGATGCAATCATATATTGACAATGAATATGGGAGCACTGAAGACTTTAAAGTTTATTGCACAACATTTTAAATTATATGTCTGATAAAACTGAATTAAATCCTGCAGTATTTGTGATACTCAACAGTTATGGAAACACTTCACATAGATTGTAAGTTTAAAAAAATTATTTATGCGGTAAACCACAAGAGCCAAATGAATCATATGACTTCGGTACAGACAACATTTTTTAAATGGTATATTTTTATTTTCTTACTTTAAGCCGCATGAAACAAAGGAATCCTATTTTCCTAAAAAGATTTTATCTGGAAATCAGAAAAAGTTTTGTGATAACGTACTTTTAATTATTCATGAAATTCGAATAAATCCACAACCAGTGATATTTTTCGATAGGAAAATTTTTTCTTTGTTTAGTCCTTTAAACTCAAACCAAAGATTGGGATTCTGTTTCAAAACTTATCGGAGTGAGACAGTATATAAAATAGTTAGGGAGGGGTGAATTACAACCATTAGTAACCCCCACCATTGTTTGAGAATCCGAGAAATATTATTTATGATAAGTAGAGAACACTTCAACTATTCACATATGAGGAGAATAATTTGAAAGGTTGTGAACAAGTGCTTATATTCAAATGAAGTTAATTCTGAATCACTTTTAAAAGACGTGGATATCAAGCTGACGTTTTTTATTATCATTAGACTGTTTCTGTCAAAAAGCAAGAAAACTGAGACAAATCAAATCTTTGTAAGCTCATACTAGAAAGTTAATACAATACTCACAAGTGACTGACTGATGGAAGCAGCCGCCTGGAGTTCTAGTGAGGAGCTGTGACTAATGGAGTCTACTAAGTCAGGTGCCAAAGCAAGTATTCGCCGATGGCACTGGTTAGCGGCAGTGCTTTAAATCAAGAATTAGCAAAAGTTGGAATTCATAGATCATTGAATTCTGTCAAAGTGATTTTATAGTCAAGTGGCTCTCCTCGTTACCCAAAGGTCCTCCATTCAGTCCACTCTGGTTTTATTAGACACTACTATTGGAACATTCCAAGCTAGGCAAAATAGCTATCAAGTACTTCATGATTTTCAATGGTTCTCTGATTGATGTCAGTTTGTAATCTAATTCGAGACCAATCAAATCTCTGGAAATCGGCTGTTGAAAATTCAGTCCATCAGATGAGAAATGTTGATGGATGGTGTAAATGTACCTTCACTTATCCATATCCGTCATCATATACTACTGTAAACTGATACATATTTAAACATGTTTGATAAAAATAGCTGATTTGTTACAATATTCCCAAATTTTTTAAAATCTTAACATTATATACTACTGATTAATTAAGATGAGCAGTTTTATGCCGCTCACATCAACTAGTAGTCCTTGCTAGCCAGATGGAAGTGACCTAAACACCACACGGCCACTTCGCCCATTATAATTTTAATGCAAGTTAAATCATTTAGCAGAATGATTTCATGATGAATGGAATATGCGTAGAAAATAGATTCAATGTAAGTTGAAAAATGTTTGAGTTAGGTTATGGGAACATTTGGATGTACGCCTTAATTTTATATTTCCACATTAACCACATAGTAATAAAAATCTGATTAGAACACTGATTACGTATAAATATATATTAGGTGTAAAGGAAACTGACATTTAGGTTGGATATGCATAAACCGCTTATTGTAGTACATAAAGATAACTGAAACCATCAGTTCTTTTCACGAATTTAGACAACACGGGGAAGATGTCATTTGTGCTAATCATGTTTTCATTTTTCATTTTAGTATTATCAGTATATGTAATAGTAATAGTTACAGTTTTAATCACAGATATACACACCTTAAATTTTGTTGACACACCATTATCGAATAACATACTATCAAACACAGCACCATGAGAATCATGGTTTAATATTGGGAAGGAAATCGATACACTTTTGAGAAAAGATTTTCAGTATCCTTTCTATTAGGGCCCTCATCATTTTACACATTCTCATAGAAATTTCAATGTCAGACTTAAACACACCGATTTTCTTCTGGGTAGACATGTCTTCGAACACAAGCATACCACACACTTAATAGTTCGAGTGAAAGGCACAAAATCATGCACTAGAAACAGGTATTAAGTGTTTCAAGCACGTTCATATTCTGAAGAAAAGAAATTCATATTTAGCAAAATGATCATTTGTAATCAGAACTAGTAAATGGATATTAAACCTGCAGCGAAGTTAAACTTTAAGCATCACTAACTACCAATCGGCGAATGACTTGGAATTGTCCAATGAGTCTAATCCATGTGAGTTGAAGTTCCTATTCCGCTTGAATTGAGTCAATGCTCTAACGCAGTTGCGCTTGCAGTTTGGTGAAGCTAAGGTTTTCCGGTATTGCTTGGATGTGAGTTGTCATGAATATAAAGACTTCAGCAGGTCAATTGATGGATATGTCTATCCTTGTGCAATTTGTTTGAGACGAGTTAATGTCAGGGAAGGTAAGGTGATGATTCTAATATTTCGTAGGAACATTTTTTGCCAGGTCCCATCTGTCCTTAACCCAGATTTTGTATATTTGTAAATACAGGGTTTTAAAACAGCCTATGAGAGGTGCACCTGCTGAAACTGAAAATAGCCTCGTATCAACAGTTCAGTGGTACCATGACTGCACAGACGTCGAGTCATGAAAAGTGGAGAGAATTACTTCGTTATTAGGAGGAGGAGGAGGTGTCATCGTACATGTGGATGAAACTGTTTTATTGAAGAAAAAATATAACCGTGATCGTGAACGAGTAAATAATGTTTTGGTGATCGGCTTATATGACACCTCTCTACAGAAAGGATTCGTCGAGAGAATAGCAGACGGAAAGTCAACTGCCTTAGTACCCATAATCATCCGACTTGTGAAACAGGGATCTATAATATACACCGATGAGTGGAAAGGTTATGACTCCCTATCATCCTTTGAATATATTCATCACAGAGTGAACCATTCTAATGATTTCGTGGATCCTATTACGGGGTCATACACCAATTCTATAGAAGGCTTTTGAAGGAGATTAAAAACAGGATTAGAGCTATAAATGGATCTCAGAAGGATGTCATTTATAGTCATTTAGATGAATACATGTACAGATTGTCGTGTAACTTTTCAATTGAGACTCTTATGCTAAATTGGGAGATGTTTTTATCACATGTCAGATAAAGGTACCCTATTTAACAGTTTTATGCAGTTTTTATGCAATGTTTTCATAAATATATGTATTCCATAACCAAAACTGCTTCTTTCATGTGATTAGTTCGTTCAAGGTCATCCACTGATAGGTAGTTAGAGGTGCTTAAAGTTTAATTGTGCCCAACCTCCTTCATTGATAACAATGTAAACAGATAGATCGACTCTCCGTGAAACCTGGATGTGCTGAAAAAACAACCAATTGTGAACCTGAAATTCAAGAGAGATGCAATTAGTGAAGCCGCCTCTTCAGAACAGATCCTTCTTTGCCTCATCTCTACGCCTCACCTTCTCTACACATACTCTTGTTCACGAAAACGTCAAAGGTTCCACTGTCGATAATTTCAGTGTGTATTTACGAGTTCATTTGCTGCTGTGAATTTAAGTACATAGGCCGTTCCAGCAGGACATTGTCTACACACGTTCATGAATACCTACCAGCATAGGTGTTGAAAGGAGAACACAGAACAGTCAACAGATGAATTCTGGAGCGCCTTATTACTTTTTTTCATTCAGCATTAACACAAATATCATTCAGAGCCACGTTTAGAGTAAGAACGTGTCTGCAAGCCCGCCTTGTAACCGGAAGGGCATGGGTTCGAACCCTGAGGGGTGTGTACTGCAGAAGAGACGCAAACTAGGACGAAAAAGATGTCTAGTATTCCCAGGTCTTCCAGTGATTCCTTAATCGATGTCATCTCATGAAGAAATCCTGTAAGAACATGTAATTCAGAAGGGTTTCCGTTATACCCTTCTCTTGCAGCCAAAGTTCTAGTAGTTAATATAGTAGTCATAGTAGTAGTAGTAGTAGCACTGTGTTCAGTAA